CCAAGTTGATATGGGTGGAGATGAGCCTTCCTGCCCAAGTACTTTGAAAGAGAAACAGACAGGGAACTAGTATTTACTGAAATGTGCCACATGCCAAAGTCCTGGAACAGATATTTCTATTCTGTCATTTAACCCCAATAGGCACCCATGTCCCTTTTTTTTTTTCCTCTTAATTTTATCCAGTTCATGGTGGTTAATAATATTGCAAAGAATTCAGACAAAAATGGTTCAAGATTTTTAAAAAACTCCCAGATTTAAAACTGACTAAAATTCACATCTAATACTAAAAATTTGCCAGGAAAAAAAAAAGACTTGAGAGAAGTAGCTAAGAGAATAGCTAACATTGCTCATAGTAAAATTTGCTATTGATTAAAAATGGACAAAAGAAAAAAATTTTCTTGACAAAATTTAGATTTGCAAATTTTCACCTGGCAAAACTGGGCCCCATGTGTATGAAGACATGAATTGATGTGAACATATTGTGTGTACAACCAGAGATATGAGATATTGTGCTCTATATATGTAATAAGAATTGTAGTGCATTCCGCTGTCATATATAAATAAAAAAAGAAAATATAAATAAAAATAAAAGACTTATTCTGTTATACATTTTTAAAAATTATTCACCTAGTTTGAGTTGATATGAAGAAAAAAGAGAACAATCCACAAATGTTAGGTAAGATTACCTTAATAGATTTTTTTAGGTTTCTTTGTCAAAAGCATAAAAAGTAATGTTTTGTGAGTTACGTATTATATGCCATCTGAAGGAAAGTCTACCTCAGTACCTCCAAAAATTCAATTTTTTGGAGATGGGGTTATCTGTACTCATCCTTCAAAGTTGGGATCCACTCATGAAGTGAGTTATTACAGATCCAATGGTTGTGCAGAATTATGCATATACATGTATGTAAAACATATTCCTTAACTATATGTGTGTAAAACATACTCCTTAATTAAACCTACAAATCTTTAAAAAAAAAAAAAGAAAGAAAGAAAGAAAATGATGGCTGCAAAAGAAGACTCACACTAGCAAAAGTTATAATAGTGAAACTGAGACAAGGGCCCAAAACTCATGGATGACTTCCACTAATCTCATAGAATTTTCAGAATTAACACCAATTAAACTAATTGCATTAAAATAGAAAAAAATGTAAAAGAACAAAAAGAGTTCAACTTTTAAATATTGTTTCACACCTTCTCCTCTCTTCAAATTTCCAAACTCCCCCATCCCTTCTCCCCTGATGACCTGGCTTCCTATTTCACAGAGAAATTAGAGCAGGGAGGAGAGGGCCCCAGACTCACGGCACTCTTGGTCTCTGCCTTCTTCCCACTTCCTTACCCCTGGCTATATCAACTCTCCACTTTGGCACCAGATACCATCCCTGACCAGAAATCCTTCCATCTCTCTTTTGTCATCTTCAATAGTTTGTTTTCCATTTGTCCATCTTTTTTTCTCACATTTAAAAAACAAAAATCTTTTCTTGAACCCATGCTATCCCCCCCCCCCCAGTCGTTCATTATCTGCTTCTTTGCTTTTCTGTGTAGCAGAAACCCTCAGGAGCTACAGGCATTTATCACTTGAAATTCCCCTCCTTCCTTCTCTCTTCAACCTTCTCCTTCCACCCTTCACCAAAACTGTTCCCACAGAGATCTTGATGCCCTCCAGGTTTATCAGTCTCACAGCGGATCCTCAGTCTTCATCTTACTTAACCTATCACAGTTGTTATCAGTTGATTGCTCTCGCCTCTGCAAGACCCTTGCTTCCCTTAGCTTCTACTCCAGGCACCATTCTCTTGGTTTTCTTCTCCCTTGGCACTTGCTCCTGTCAGTCTCCCCTGCAGGCTGGTCTGCTCCCCGACTTCTTATGCAGAAGTAGCCCAGGGCTCAGTGTCTCCATCTCTTCTACTTCCTGTCTCCCTCCACTAGTGACTGCACCTGCCTCATTGTTTCAGCTACCATCTAAATGTCAACAACTCCCAAATTTTTATCTTCAGTCTAGAACACTTCTCCAAAATTCTGAGTTGTGTATCCATCTTCCTGCTCAACATCAACCACGGAGGTCTCACAGGCATTTCACTCTATACAGCCCAAACAGGACTCCCGATCATCTTTCTCCACCACTAGCATCCCAACTTTGACAACCCTTCCTTCTCCTATTTGATTGACAAAAACTTTGGGGTCAGCTTTAGCTATTCTTATTCCCTCATCCTTATGTCCTATGCATTAGGAAGTCCTGCTGGTCTTACCTTCAAATGCATCCAGAATCTCACCACTCTCACCGCCTCCACTGCTAACACCCCCATCTAAGCTACCATTTTCTCACCTGGCTTACCACAGTAGCCCCTGCATCAACCCTTGCCCTCCTAACATCTGGTCTAAACAAAGAGCATTATTAAAACTTCAGTTAGACCAGGTCATTGCTCTGATCAAGACTCTACAATGTTCCCCATTGTACTCTACAGTAAAGCCCTCAATTGCCTCTTGGGCTCCTTTTTGACTTTCTGTCCAGACTCCCCTTCCCTCCCTTCCCTCCAGCCATGCTGGTGCCTTTGATGCTCATCTGACATACCAAATGTGCTGCCACTGTGGGGCCTCTGCACCAGCTAGTCCCTTTCCCAACTACATTCTTTCCCCCAGTATCTACCAGAATGATACAACTTCATTGGAATCTTGTTTCAGATGTCACCTAGAAAGGATGACTTTCCTGAGTAACTTATTTATACTGAAATCTACCCTCTAACCCCGATCTGTGGTTTCTCTTCTCCATGGCACTCAAGATCCTATAACGTTATATGATCTATACTTACTTCTTATGTTGACATCTGTCTCTCCCTGCTAGAAAATAAATTTGACAAGGGTAAGGACCTTATCTGGTTTGTTTACAACATAGATGTTTGCTATTTGTTGAATTTGAACCATGGTATATAATGAATCTGTTGACTTAATGGAATAATCTCCAGAAAAGTATTTTTGTCATCAATGTTGGTATATTTTGATTTTTTAAAAAAAAATTTTAGACTGAAACAAGGGATCAAAACCTCCTTAGAGTACAAATGCTAGATAGATAAGATGGTGATGTAAAAAATGCTCTGAGTCTACCAAAGTGCYAGATTTCTTACATAACTCATCTCAGTATTGTTATGCTCATTGCACAGGTAAGAAGACTGCATTTCTAGATATTAAGTGCTTACCAAAGTCAAACTGACCTCAAACTTGCAATCTTKCTGCCTCAGCTTCCGTAGGCCCTGTGCTTTCAGGTATGTACCACCATGCCCAGTAAATAGAAGTACTTTTTAACAGCATGCCCTATGAGTTAGGCCAAATAATGCCCCCACCCAATTCCACATTCTAATCCCCAAGCCTTGTGAATATGTTACCTTTCATGGTAAAAGCAAATCTGCAGATGTGACTGAGGGTCTTTCTATGGAAAGAGGATTCTGAATTATCTGAGTAYGCCCAATGTAATGGTCATTATAAGAGGGAGGTGAGAGAGTCATTGGAAGGAGGCATGACAATGGAAGCAGAGGCTGGACAGATGTCAATCTGCTAGGAGGCGATGGGCCAGGGAATSCAAACAGCCTGTCGAAGCTGGAAAAAGCAGGAATGGAGGAATAGACTCTTTCTGCAGCTTTCTTGCTGATAACCTTGATTTTTATTCCCATAAGCCATTTTCAGACTTCTAACTTAATAAATGTATTGTTGTAAGTCAGTAAGTTTGTGGTATTGTGTCACAGCAGCAATAAGAAACCCATATACTCTAGAAATGTGGTGTCATAGAAATGCTGAAGTCTCTTACCTGCTCTTACCTGCCTTACAGAGACCATTATACAACTRAGAGTCAAGAACCCAAAGAAAGGTCTGTCCCATTACTTCCCTAAGTGACTTAGCATCCAGCAGGGAAAGACTTAAAGACCTCAGACCTCTCCCTCCCAGCCCCTCCCTCCTGCACAGTGTGCCATCACTAATGTCCCACCTTGGGTGGGGTCCAAGCAGCCACTCAAGCTACCTGTCCACACCAAGAAATCTGAGAAAGAAATGAAGTTAGTCATTGTCTCCAGTATTTCCCCCTGATGGATGAGAACCATCAGTAGCAAAATCAGTGTACTTGGCATTTTTCAAAAGAAGAAAAAAAAAAAAACAAAACAAGAGCCATGAAGAGACCTCAGATTGTGAGAATAGCTTTTAATTTAAAACAATCGAAGCAATAAATCATCCATCTCTTTTCATCACAGGCAAATACTCTCCCAAAACATTCGAGATAGTTTAAACAACAACTGTGCCCAGTGCAAAATAAAATAAATAAAAACTCTTTCAGCAACCAACATCAAAACGTGCTGGGCAAGTGGGCACAGGCCACGGGTTCAGCCTCTGCCCAGGCCAAGAGAAACAGCACATCCAGAGCGGCAAGGTTAGCACAGCATTTCACCACGCCCAGCTTTGAACAGACTCAACAAGGACGGGGAGGGGCGGGGGGTATGGACGACGACACCACAAGAGAATGTTGCCTAAAGTGAAACCACGATGCTCAACACCCTCGTGTGGCCAACATCCTTGGCACCTGGAAGATGCTAGAAAAGTAAGTGCAAAGGTAGAAGCTCCTAGACAAAGCTGAAAGAAGGCAGTTTGGGGAGCGCGCGCGCGTGTGTGTGTGTGTGTGTGTGTGTGTGTGTGTGTTTGGGAGGAAAATCTGCTTTCTGGAAGATGATCTGTGCCCCCACAGTGCTTCTGACTCCAGCAAAAATATCTGTGTCACTTCTATTTGGATGCTCTGCAGAATTACCTTCCTACCTATGGTATGGCATTGCTTATCTCACACCATGGGAGTTTAGAGCAGCACTAACAGAATAGCAACATTGCAACATACATCTAATTTAAAATTTTTACACTAGACACATTAAAAACAGATTAAAATTGTTGACATTAATTTTAATATTTCATGTTTCATATAATCAATATAAACTAGTGATATGAAATGTTTATATTCTTTTTCTGGTATGAAGCCTTCAAGATCTGGCACTGCATTTTATGCACACAGCACGATCTCAATTTGGACAGGCCAAATTCCAAGGGTCACTTGCCATATGTGGATACCGTGCTGAATGAAAAGCACAGATCTAGACAATTTCATGCAAACTCTTTCAGGACAATTTGTTGAGTAGAAAATCTCTATGATACTGTGTAGACAATTGTACACACCAACAGAGGAGTTCAGAACCTTCTGTGGCCTGGGCTTTTTTACCTAAAGGATAAAAATCACATGTTCATCTAATCTCATCCCCTGGTCCTGCCCCTGGTCCCAGCCATCTCCCCACAGACAGTCTGAACTCTGAGATTTAGCAGCAGGGATACCTGTATGAGGCAAATGACATTCCTTCTTGGACAGACACCTTTTCCAGCATCCATATGGAGATCATAGTGATCTATAACCAAATCAGAAGTTTAAAATATTCTGCAAATGTTATGGACTTAACCAAAGGTCATTCTGGTGCTCTTCCAAGGTGGTGTTCTGAATGGATTGTTTTCGTTGTTTGAGAGGGATGATAGCAAAGTACCTCACAGACTAGAACGTTCTGAATTTCCAGAGTGGGGGAAAAAATGAGATGGTTACCAGAGAAAGGAGAGTAGAGCAGCAATAGAGATGAAGTGGAAACCCTAAAAATGACACAGGTCTTACATTGGGGTGTATAAATTGCAATAATCTAAAAACTGAACATCTAAACCTCTAAGTGATCCCTACATTTCACATGTTTGATTCTGGTAGTGACCACAGGAAAATAACAATAGAATAGAATGTTAGGGCAGGAAGGGACTTCTGAGTTTTTCTGGTCATTTAAAAGACAAAAACCCAGAGAGGTCAAGTGACTCAGTCCCACCAGATGTAGAAGCWGAGCTGGGATACAAACCTGGGTGTTTTCTCTGTGTACTGCAGGTGAGGCTCTGGCTCAGGTAAATGATGCAGGGAGCCCAAAGTTTTTAAGCAATGGGGAAATGGCAGGCACATTCTCTTGTAGGTTTGAGAAAACAGGCTGGTCATTTCAAAAATACTGAAGCAATATTGATGTAAAATGTCATTAAAGCATGAATCTTTCCATAGTTTTCTCTGCATATGTATATATTTTTACTCTAAAAGAAAAATCCCACTCTGAACCAAAATGAATTTCTGATTAGTTATTTGGGCGTTTAGATCAATGGACAAAATAAAAAATTTTGATACATTATATTTTCCAAAGACACATTCATTGGGATTCTACACAAAGATATCAAAAGGTATTTACAGGAARAAAGCGTTGTCTTTCGCATAGACACCTACATACAGTGAGAACTTCACAATTATACCACCAAGCCTCACACAGAGGACTCTTAACAGGCTGATCAGTTGACACAACCCACACGTTATTCCAGTTTTCCATCACAAATAATCTTGTCTACATCTATRTGTAATACTAAGCAGCACATTCCAGACTTTTATTCCAGGGAACCTGCTTATATATATATTAAGAGACACATATAAATACATTTTCTTAAACAGGAAAGAAATCCATTGTTTCCTCCAGTTTTCTCCAAGTCTAGATCTGAAATAAAGAATAGCACATATACAAAACCTTGCCTTGTAGAAATAGCCCTTTGTTTCGTGAGACAGAAAAAAGGCAGCCGTAGTACACTTTCTTTACGGTATGTTTTAGGCATCAAAAGGGCTAAATGATGTTTTCTACCTAGGGAAACCAAATAATTTAGAGCCTGTAATCTTAAGTACAGATTTTATGCCATTAATTTTGGAAAATTTTATTACAAAATTTTCAGTCTGTTCAAAATACACATGCTGTCTTTGTATACAATGCAATCTAAATTTGTCCCCTCCTGCCCCCAAAAGGCCTTTGGCTTTGCAACATCATTGAAAACAAGTCATTTTTGATGAGTATTTGGAGACATTATTCACAATAGTTGGCCCCAAGGGCACTGGATTTTGTAAGGCTACTTAGTGTGGGGATTTCCACCAGAGTCAGGGGCCTGTGCAAGAGAATGGGTCTGCTTAGGACCTCTGAGTCAACACCAGAAGGTGACACCATTGGGCACAGTGTAGTAGAGAATGCACCATGAGCTCCCCCCTTCTGCCAATCTCATCAGGCAGGGAGCATGCTCTACTGGACCCGCCGAGGGCCACACCTTCTACCTGTGAAGGCTCAAATCTCATCAGAGCCCCACAGCACGACTAGAAAGAGAGGGCAGATGTCCTACACCATTGTKCGGATGAGGAGAGTGAGGCACAGGGAGGATAAGGCCTTGCCCACACTGTCAGGGGCAGCACCCAGGTCTGAAGGCCATATGCCTCCAGCCCTCATCCCTCGCTCACAGGGCATAAATGATCTCCTGTGAGCCAGGGCCCGATCACCACCAATCCCGATTACTCCAGACTCATCACACATCCCAATCTCATGCCTGTGCTTCATTTCCCCCAATTGGTTCTGCTTTATTTTCCTACAGTTTCTAGAAAGATCCTATCAATTTGAACAAACACGGGTTAAGCAGACAGCAATTAATCCTTCTTCATTTGACTGAATAATCTGAAATAGAAACTCCAGAGACTCTGGGATTTGGTACAAAGCAGTAGGAAAATTATTCCTCATTTTATTTGTATTAGAAACTCTGATATAATCCCAGGTTGCACCTAAAATACTTAAATAACCAAAATAGAAAGGGTGGCCTTTTACAGTGACATATTAAATGTCTTTGTATCACATTGTCAGTCATAGCCAATAAGCATCGAGGGCAAGTCACGAGGTGACAAACCAAACAGGGCAGAAACAAGACTGGCCCCAGAAAAGCATGGACAGGGAGGCAAGCAAAGAGCTCAGAGACGAGAGAATGACACACAAAGTTGGGGTGTATAACAAGATTCCAAGGAATTGCCACRTGGTGTAAGAAGAGAGTAGCTATTCTAACTAAAAATAAAACACTACACCTTTTGGGGAATGGGCTGCTAAGAAAAAGAGAATTCATCCACCTTTGGCAAAGGACGATCATAGGCTCCTGTGGACRTGTGGCATTATACCACCAAATGTCACAGTCCCAAGTGAATTTCTCTTGACAACACTTAAAGGGAATAACTCAGCCCTTTTTACTCCTTAAAATCTAAGTGGGGAACTAATTTTTTTTAACTGTTCCTGAGTTATAGTTTTGTCAAAATATTAACTTGCCTTTTCCAGATATGCTTAATACCAACTATTTAGCCTTCAAAAGCCAACCCATCACAGATTTCCTAGTGGACTAGAAAGGTCGCACACTCTCGCTCACTCTCACACACATTCATACAGTCGTTATTATGAATTTTGATATGGTTTAAATTAAAAATATCTTTCACTGTGGATGTTCTATTATACATGGATAGGTCAGAAATTATTGTGCGTAATGAAAAAGACTATGCCACAAGTAAAGCCCAGCCCAGTTGCTGATTTTCTGTATGAAACAAAATGTGGGCTTTTTATTTACTGTAGGTGAGGCCACACCATGGGCCTCATTGATTGATTTCTCTGGAGGCCACTATCTCTTGACCTCCAAAGCGAAACAGAGGGCTGGGGGCACATCCCCATTTTTGATGTGCTGATGGTAGGTGCCACACCAGCAATATGAATACCTTTGTTTATACCAACCTCTCCTTGAACTATGTTTATAAAAACTATCTACAATAGAGTATCATCACTAATAGAAATTTCTTCCCAATTCTATTTCAGAAGGTGCCAAATGATCGTGCTCTTTAAATAAACTATAAATACCCCCATGTATTCCTTCATGTTGGCTTGTCTCAAATTTTTTTCTTTCTTCTTTTTTTTTTTTTTTTTGGCAAATTAAAAAGGCGTTATGGCTTCTTCTCGCCAATCCGTATGTGTGAGGTTTAGCTTGGTATCCTGCGGTARAAGTACAGGTAGCCCAGGTCTTTTGGGGGCCTTTCTGAGGCACAAACTTTGTGATCATTGTAGATCACCCATCTGAAAACAAAAGACAGACATAGTTGATGGATATATATCAGTTTTAGAACACTTTGCATTTTGCAGAAATAACATGATCAGATGGAGCRTTGTACTTGAAATAACCAAGATGTRTAAGATAACCAAAGTCCAATTTATTGTGTAAAAATGAACAGAATCCTACTGGGGAATCACAATTGCTTTCTGATTCTTAAGCTCAATCAAACTGCAGTTACTAAATCTATCAGGATCCTCTAAATATTTTAGGCCCTTCATGCCACAAATCACTTCACAGAAATCCATAGGTAGACTTAGATACTGAGGGAAAGAATTGTGTATGACAATGTTTATTTCAGTCTTAGGTATAAAACTAGCTAAGAAGCAGAGATAAATATCTATGCAGTGAACCATTATGACTACATTAAAATTTCTTTTAAGAAAATTTGGTGAAGTGAGGAAATAATCMCCATATAATATGAACATGTAATAGGGGTCACAATAAAATAAGAAAAGCAGGTCTAAAAATYATATGTGCTCTGTACACACTTTAAGATATTACAGAAGTTGTAAATACACACATTTACATATATGTAGTATGTGTATATCCTCCAATGAGACCAATAAAAATATATTAAAACACAGACACTGACTGTCTTTAGGCTTCCCAAGTRCACATTCTTCACATATTTTTTTATTTTACAAATTAATAACAATGAATTTTATTGCTTTTTAAATTATATTTCCTTTTTAAAAATTATTTTTTAAAAAATTGTCATTCTTGGCAATAAAAAGATTTCACTATAAATGCTTGTCCCTGTGCTCAATGTTGATTTTTATTAATCAAGTTGAGAAGATAGGAAGGGCACTCAGGGGAACAGCAGRGACTGTAGGAAAGGCACTCGGGGAGGAAGTTCTAAAGAGAGCAGCAGCYTCACTCTCACTTCTCCACCCCTAACAGTCCTACTAAAGAAGTAGAGAAGCCATGCAGGGCTGATGGAAGTTCACTGGAAGTTCAGGGTCACCAGGTCAAACACAGGTTATTCYACTAACTCCCACCAGATAAGCAACAAATCATTTGTTAATATAAGTATGTCCCAGGTAATATGAGAAACATGCCATTCTTTGAAACATATTTATACTAAAAAATTATTCATTATTTATCTAAAATTTAAATTAGATACGGCATTTTGGTTTTCTCATTTTGTTGGCTAAATGCAGAGATCCTATGGGGGTTCCAAATATGGCATGCATTCTGCTGCAGGATGTCATTTTATTTTGGGAACCCACCTTCCCAAAAATACCTTTGGGAAAGCACTTTTGTTAAAAATACCTTTGAATATAAGCTCTGACACAACTACTTACTAACTAAGGCCAAGTTATTCAGCCTCCTTGAGCCTCAGTGTTTGGATGTATAAAATGGTGTTAAAAGACTACATCCTTGCAGACCATTGTGAAAACAAAATGAGATAACATATAAAGCATCAAGTAGAGTGCCTGGCACATAGTAGGGGCTCAATAAATCACATCTAACATCCACGTTCTCTAAAAGACTCACCTTCCTTCCTTYTTTATGTGGCAAACATAATGGCCACTCATTGTAGATGTTCCCATGTGACTGATGAATGCAAATAATTCATACACTATAAAAAAAGACATGATTTGGTTATAAGATAGCACTTCTAGAATCAAAAGCACTTACCAACTATCATGTAATCTAACAACTATATAGATCTGAAAGACAAACTCAATTTACCTTGGCATACTGTCAATACACACACACACACACACACACACACACACACACACACACATCTCCAAAGTGACAGCAGATTTTTATATGCACATTCATTTGACAAATACCAAACCTAAAATGTTAAAGTATATCTGATGTTAAATTCAAATCTGAAAGGGAATTTAAAATTTTACAGCCAAATCCAGAAGCAAGCTTGTGGGTCTAAAACTAGTAGCTGTGGCTCTGTACTTCCAAACAGCATGAGAATGAACAAGTTGTTTCATCTCTGATCTTGTTTCTTCAAGGGGGTTAAAAAAAAAAACAAAAAACACCCACCCACTTTGCAAGGTTGTATGAGACTTACATGAGCAATTCAGAATAAAAGAGCATACAAATGTCAGGATTACAAGGAAAATAGTTATTACCATTTATAGGAAGAGATAATGCTCCATACAAGATGTCTGACTTGCTCATGATTATAACCTTTATGAGAGCAAACTTCAGGATTCATGCTTTCTGAACAAGGAAACTTAGAGAATGAGACTAAGGTTGATTACCTAACCAGTACTTCTTGCCATCAAGTACAGTACTCTGCATGTAATTCTTGGTGAATCAATTTCAGTTCACATTCCTTCAGCTAATCATTTTTAAACTTATATAGTATATAAGCATTTATAAACTTCTATAGTAATTTGTGAGCAATATTCATATCTGAATATAAGAAATTTTAAAATGGGCTTGTATATTCATTTTCTTTTTTAATATATATTTTTTTAGTTATAGTTGAACACAATACCTTTATTCCATTCATTTTTTTTATGAGGATCGAACCCAGGGCCYGGCATGTGCTAGGTAAGCGCTCTACTGCTGAGCCACAATCCCAGCCGGTATATTCATTTTGACTTTTATTACATTTTCCCAAAATTAGAAAGTATTGATTCTGGACAGACCCTTTGCTTACCCTTACTTCTATCATTCTTTCTCTCTCCAGGCCCATTCATTATTCAGTAGTCGATCCTTGGTCTCATCTTATTTGCTCTTCATCAGCCTCATACACCCTGTCTATCAATTCCTCCTTCCTCAAGTGCTTGCCCCCAGGACATGACTCTCCTGGCTGTCCAGCTGTCTCCCTTTCTTGTGCCTTATGCCCTCCCTGACCTTTGCATGTTGGTGACCTTCAGCTTAGACCCCAGACCATTTCTCCCTGCTCTATCCAGACTCCTTTCTCTCTTTCTGAGTGATCTCATTCAGTCCCACAACAGTAAATGATACTATATATTTAATTTCATTTCTGCAATGTTATTGTTCATATATATAGAAATAAAASTGAATTTTGTATATTATCTTGTTTCCTAAAACCTTGTTGAGCCCGCTTATTAATTCAAGTTCTTTAATGGATTCCTTAGGATTTTCAATATACAAGATCATGTCATCTGCAAATATAGTMTTACTTAATAATCTGAATACCTTTTACTTCTTTTTCCTTTCTAATTGAATTGGTTAGAATTTCCTCTACAATGTTAAATAGAAACAGCAAGAGGAGATATCTTTGTCTTGTTCCTGATCTTAGGGGGAAAGCATTCAGCCTTTTAGGTTAGGTATCACATGAGTAGTGGGGTTTGGGGTAGGCACCTTCAATCAAGTTGAGGAAGTCTCCTTCCATGATTGATCAGTCTCCCCTCAGCCTTATCTATTTCAGTCAATAACAATTCCATGCTTCCTGTAACTCAGGACAAAATCTTGACTTYCTTTTATATTCTTTATACCCACCCAACCCAGCAGCAAATCCTATCAGTATTTCCTTCAAAATATACCCAGAACCCAATCATTTCTTATCATCTCCATTTGTAACCSCTAATTCAAGTCACCATCATCTCTAGTCTGAATTTTTATGAGTCCTTTAGCTGGACTCCATTAAGCCCTACTGACTGCTCTCAGTATAGCTTCCAAGAGGTTTTCTGTTGTTGTTATTTTTTAATGATAATCAAATTTTGGTCTGCCCCCAAATCCTCCAATGGCTTCCTGTATCTTGCAGTAATATATTACTCTTGCAGCAAACAACGTATAAAGTCCTGCCTTTCCCATCGTTAACTAAGTTTCTCTTGCTGATCATCACATCCAACTGACAAAAAAAAAATCCCAGGTTAGAAATCAGACAACAGGTACAAACATTTGGGAATGACAATCTTTACGCCTGCTTCTTTTTTTTAAAAAAAGAGATCCAGGGACCTTACCCATGTCCATACTCAGTGCCTACCACACTGCCTCAATACACAGGAAAGGGTGTRGACTGAGACCTTTTTTGACCTCAGGTGGTTCTGAATCCCTTTTGAACAATTCCACGTCATGTTCTAACTCTAGTCGAGGTCCATATCTCTCCTGGACAGATACAGTACAGCTTTCCCAAAAGGTAGCAGCCCTCTAAAGAATTTTCATTAATAATGAAGAGATGACACAATACTCCAATCAAGGCCCTTCTTTCCCAAGTAACTGTTTTCTAAAACGGTGACTTCAGCAATCCAGCAAAATGTTTAATGAGCACTTCTGTCATAAACCAGCCTCACACCAATGAAACGCTGCTCAGACACTGACTCAGTCAGTGATGGATAAAACAGACCAAGAGAAAAGAACAAATCCAGAGCCTCTCAACACATCTACACCTTAGCCCACAAAGGCACATTCCCCTCTGAGGTTAGGAACAATTCATGTGTTTGCTCAGAATCATAAAATTAAAATGTGAAAGTTTAGTATAAATCTTGGTCCCATAATTAAAATGAACCATGTTTATCAACATCAGCAACTACCCTTGTGCACTATTCAACACCACCTGCTAGTGACCAATAGATCTCTTTCAACATATTTGCAAAGCCTAAACAGGTTTAAAAAAAATGCCAACTTATAATTTGTTTCTAAGAAGAAAATCAAGGTGAATAAATGATGATGATGATGAAGGATGAATAAGATGAGACCAGGGATGGACTACTGAATAATGAATGAGCCTGGAGAGAGAAAGAATGATAGAAGTAAGGGTAAGCAAAGGGTCTGTCCAGAATCAATACTTCTTAATTTGGGGAAAATATAATAAAAGTTGAGTACTAGAAAAACAAATATGCAAGCCCATTCTTTTTTACTTCTTATATGAATACAGCTCACAAATTACTATATAAGTTTATAAATGCTAACTCTGTTGCTATGCTATCTCATAGTTTGTAACTATTTGCTGAACAGACTGGTACTAGTCCATGGAGCCCACTTTATGTTATGTGGGAATCTACTGTCGATTCTTAGCCCTAAGTTTCCAGAGCAAAAATAAAAAGAATGTCACACATTCCCAAAAATACTGTAGCAACTCCTTCTCTTGTAGATTTACAAAAAAAAAAAAAAAAAAAAAAAAGGCATCTTGAGACAATATAAATACTTCAAAAATGTTGACTTCCAAAAAGAAACTTTTAAAGTGCGTAGAAGAGGTAGACACGCCTGACCACTATGTCCCACATCTCGTGAACACTAACCCTCTAAACCACCAGAATTAAACTGGATCTGAAACTAGCACTCTTCCTTCCCATAAAATGTGTCCTTTTTAAACTTTAAGAAAACCTTCTCAGCCAGGTATAGTGGCACACACCTATAATCCCGGTGACTCAGGAGGTTAAGGAAGGGAACCACAAAGTTCAAGACCAGCCTCTTGAACTCAGCAGCTTGGCAAGACCCTGTCTCAAAATAAAAATAAAAAGAGCTCGGGATGTGGCTCAGTGGTTAAACGCCCCTGGGTTCAATGCCTGGTACAAAAAAAAGAAAAGAAAATCTTCCTAACTTTCTAGTAATAAAGATCACATTTTACCACTACCCTCCCCACCCAACACAATAGCAACTGTATTCTGAGTTTGTTCTTTAGGGAAAGCAACTGCCAAAAAAATCTCAAGAAACTTGCAAGGTCAAAGAGGCAGGAAGCATGTCCATTCAATGTCATATGGAGGAAAATCACCCAGAGATCATCCACAAGAGGGACTTGCCAATGACACAGTGGTCAAATCCAGTCTACAGATTGTTTTTGTTCTGGTGAGAAGGAGGAGAAATAAATATGAGATAGACACATACACGGCTCACAAAACTCAACAGATTTATTATCTGGCCTTTTTGAGAAAGTTTGCTGCTGCCTGGCTAGGGGGGTGAGCTTGGTTCAGCCACTGCTTAGTACTGATGAAGCACACAGACTTAGGAAGCCACTTGTTAACTAGTAGATTTTTGTCTATTGAAGATACAAACAATTTCTCTCCAGGCAGACTCATAACCTCATGAGTTTGTGGTCCTGACAGACATTAATTCATATTTTAACTTACTCAGCCATCTTATCCTAAAATTTCCTGGTCAAGTTGTCTGTACATATCCTAGCTTCTCAGATGTTGTTAAATAAGGTGTAACATCAGTTAAAAGAAAACCTGTGATACGTGTTCATGTTATATTCACTTGAAGGTTATGATTTTGCCCTCTGGAAAATTATGGCTTTAACAATACAAAGGGAGGAAAAACAACTCTAGATTCCAGAGGGCCTTTATATGAATTCATTTTCACAAACCATTATAGCATCTGCATTCATATATCAAGCAGTAATATCTCATCAATCCACAGGGAGTGCTTGTTGGGAGTTTCCCTGAGGATTCCCTAGGTTTTTCTAATAATAGGTCCATGAATGTAACATGGCAGCGGGCAAATTGCCAATGGGCAAATAACATGTAGTTTTCAAATTTTGGTTCACCCATCTGGGCTTGTGAACAGCTCGTGACCCCCATGAATCTCATGCACCGCAGATAATGACCTGACCGTTACTATGATTGGTCCCAGGGGGTTCCTGTTTTAGGATAACTGACTTTCATTTCCTATATAAGCTAGCAGCAGCTTACAATAAAG